GAAGTCAAATTTTCAAAATCTATGTGATCAGTGGGTAAGTAAAAAGCTAAAAGCTATTTTCTGTTTGTAACAAATCAGAAATACCGAGTTTACTTTTTAATAGCTTAATCTCAGTTATTACACCAATAGCTCTCTTTCTGCACATCCTTAAAAGTCTTTTAGAATCTGGTTACAGGCCTGGACATGGTGGCTTATGCCTGGAATCCCAGCACTTTGGGAGACCGAGGTGGGCAGACTGCTTGAGTCTAGGAGTTCAAGACCAGTCTGGACAACATGGTAAAGCCCCATCTGCACAAAAACTACACAGATTAGCTGGGCCTGGTGGCTTGTGCCTGTAGTCCAAGCTACTTGGGAGGTTGAAGTGGGAGGGTCGCTTGAGCCCAAGAAGTCGAAGCTGTAGTGAGCCATGATCATGCCACTATACTCTAGCCTGGACAACAGCGTGAGACCGTGCCTCAAAAAAAAATCTGATTATAAAAATAAAATGTTCTTTGATAAAATTTGGAAAATGCAGGCACTACATGAGGAAAAAAATAAAGTAATCCATAAAACAACTCTGTTACAGCCTATAGTGTTATTGTGGAGTAAGGCTGTCTAGGATCAAATACTGGCTACTTAATTTCTTTTCACTTTAGGTTCTAACTGTAAATTGTAATGCAATATAATGTGAGAGGGCCATACATACCACTAACAATAAGGCAGCTTAGGCAAAGCTTGTTAGGAAACTTATAGGCAGAGAAGCAAAACCACACATTCAATTCCCACATTTCTCATCATTGTCCCATAGAGTAACACATTTTAATCAGGTGCAAGTGGACTCAAGGAAAGTTCACCAGCTGAGGCCACATGCCCTGTTCCAATTCATGTATATTTATATAGGCACAAGCCACCAGGCCCAGCTAATCTGTGTAGTTTTTGTTCAGATGGGGTTTTACCATGTTGCCCAGACTGGTCTTGAACTCCTAAGCTCAAGCAGTCTGCCCACCTCTGCCTCCCAAAGGAGGTCACACACCAAGGCTGCTATGAGTGAGTTTTCCAATAGGCTAATTCAGACCTGCTAAACCAGCTTCTTGCTCAGGTTCCAAAAAAGGGGAGAGAATGAGTTCCTCTAAGTTTTATCTTGCCTCATGTATCAATTGAGAGAAAAAGTTATTATATAAGAATGTATGGCTCAGTTTAGTTGTCTAAAGAATCAATGCATTTAGTTAACACTTTTTTTTTTTTTTGAGATGGTGTCTTGCTCAATCACCCAGTTAGAGTGCACCGGTACAACCATAGCTCACTGCAGCCTCAATTTCCTGGGCTCAATCTAGCCTCCTACCTCTCAGCCTCCTGAACAGCTGGGACCACAGACATGCACCAATATGGCTAGCTAATTTTTTAAAATTATTTTTTGTCTTGCTATGTTGCCTGGGATGGTCTCAACCTCCTGGCCTCATGCAATCCTCCCACCTTGGCCTCCCAAGAGCTGGGATTACAAGTGGGAGCCACCACACCTGGCCTAGTTTACAATATTAAGAATATTTTAAATCAGTAGCTCTTGGGGAGTGAAAATTGGGGGTGAAGTTAAAGATAGCATCAGAATAACTTCAGGCAACATTTTTCAGTCTTGGATGCCCACTGGGAACACCCGAAGAGCTATAAAATATACTGATGCCAGTCCTGACCCAAGAGATTCTGGCTTCATTGGCCTGAGGTACAGCCTAGTCATTGGGATTTTCAGAAGTTCACCAGGTGATTCTAATATGTAGCAAAGGTTGCAAGGCACTGACCTATGAAGGTCCACCTACAATGGCTAAAATCAAAAGGACTGACAATCCAGCTCCTGGTGAGGATGTGAAGCAACTAGAACTCTCATACATTGATGATTGTAATGTCAATTGGACCAACCTTTCTGAAAAATTGTTTGGCAGTGTCAGCCAAAACTAATATACACCTACCCTATGGCCCCAACATTTTATTTCTGGGTATATACTCAAGAGAAATAAGGGCTTCTGTTCACCAAAAGACATGGGTAAAAATGTTCACACCAGCTTTATTTGTAGTAGTCCAGAACTGAACACAACCTAAATGTTTATCAACAGTAAAATGGGTACATTGTGGTAGATGCAAACAATCCAGTACTACACAGAATTAAAAGTCACAACATGGGTGAATTCCATAGACATATGGAGTGAAAGGAGTTAGATACAATAATCCATGGAGATACAGGTCAAATAGAGGTTGCCCATGGTAGTGACAGGAGCAGAACGGTGCCTGTTAGGAGAAATGTTTTCTATCTTGATCTGGGTAATGATCAGCTAAGCATATATTATAATTTTATCAAGCTGTAATTTTAAGATTGGTGTGCTTTACTGTATGGTTATTAAATTTAAAAATACAACTCAAGCATTTGTTTACAGCCATTATATATAAAAGGCTATATACCAATGAAGGTATACCAATCAAGGAAGTTCTTATGGAATTTTTTAAAGTGAAGAATTTTTAAGCTGGGGGAAAATATTCTTAAACCAGAAGTGCAGTCTCCATCTATACCTTACTCCTATCCTGCTCAGCTTGGAGAAAGTCTGGCCAATGTGTTTGACAAATGCTCCCCAGGTACTTCTGATATATTTCTCCCACCCCTGGTGGTGAATCACTGGTTTAAGCAATCTGTGGCCCACCAGCCAGGCACTGCCTGACCTGTGGAACTAGCTCTTCTGGGAGCCTCTGGAGATTTTCCCTGGAGATACCATGTTCACTGCTTCTCTGTCATTTCATTTGTGTAAGTCTGAGAAATATGTTGCAGAACTTAAACATAAGGATTCTGTTTCTATAATGTATGCCTTTTTGTTCTAATTCCTAATTTTCTGTAACTCCTGAGATTTCAAGGGAACTGTTCATTATTTTAATCTCATGCCTTACGTACTGTGACTTATAAGAACATCCCCAGTTAAGCCCAGTGTCTAGTCCTGGTGTTTTATCAGGAAATGAACACTAGCCAGCACCTTAGAATCCAGAAAGAGGCAGTTTCTCTGACCTCATTCCATGGAAAACATCTGTAACTGTTCTCTCAGCAATGTGTAACATTAGCCTCTGGAGAAGAACCATAAAGCATTTTGCCTCTCTACCTTGGGAATTTGCAGGAAAGGGCTGTCTGCATGAGCTCAGAATGTCTATTAATATATTACCACTCAGAGACTTAATAAGGATTGAAAAGGGGCTTCCACTGCACTAAGGGAAATTTGTCAAGAGAATTCCAGAGTATTGAAGAAGCCGAAAGATGATTTTAAAACAAAAGCCTGAAAACTATGCATGACAAATTATCATAGAAGTGAGTACTTTTATAGGTATTCCATTTTTACATTGTCCAAAAGAACCAACTTTTCAGAAACCTCTTTAGAATCCGTTGGCAGTCCTATTGTAGATTCATTCCAGATGAACTCAGCCAGAACTTTCTGCAGCAATAAACATCTTCTCTATCTGTGCTATCCAATATGGTACCCACTAGCCACAGGTGGCTATTGAGAACTTGACATTTAGCTAGTGCAACTGAGGAACTGAATTTTAAATTTTATCTAAATAGCCACATGTGGCTACTGTAATAGAGAAGGCAAGACTACACAGTAATTATAGCTTGCCTCTTAGTTGAAATAATGGTTTTATAATTCACACCAGATAAAAGCCTAGGTTGTTTTTTATTTTAGACTTTTGACTAATTTCTATCTTTTATTCAGTATAGAGTTCATGAGAAATTGGTTATAATATGCCTCAAAGCTCCAATAACAATTTCTGTAGTAACTTCTAGTTTCAAAACTGACTCCTTCAGGTTGAGTCTTTCATAATTTGAGTGTAATTGTTTTGACAAATATCAGATATTGTAAGAATTGGATGTTACAAATCTGATCACAAAGTATTTTTCCTACGTCACTGTCTAAATCTAGAGATGGTTGGTCTGGGAGTCAATAGTCCTTTGGATTTTTAAATCAGTGTTTACAAAGTGGAGCAAGAGTACTCATAAAATGAACCAAAAAAGTAACAACGAGAAGAGAAATACCATTAAAGCATGTTTAATTAAATAAGCGGGAGGCTATTGGCCTGAGGCTGATTTTCTACGCAATGAATTGCAATTTACAGCAAGAAAAAAGCAACCCCTGACAGCTCTCAGCTGCTCGGCTCTCACAGCTGGGCATTGGTGCTCTGTGGAACATAAATAACTTCACAGAACACCATCAGACGTTGCCACTCTCTGACCGATGGATGAAGACAAAAACAAGACTCTTTTGTAATCATGTGGGAATGCTGAAAAAAAAAAAAAAAACATTGTCCAAACAACAAAAATGACCAAACATCTCCTATCCCAGTTAATGAGTCACTGGTCTTGTCTCCCCGCCTTTTAGGTAAGATTTATTATGATACTTAATCATGCAATCGCCCTGCTTCCTGCCAGCACCCAGTCCAGAGTATTGGATTGGATATGCTGCTTCCCTGAACCTTTTCCCAAATTACCTTAATGTAAGGAATCAGCAAAGGAGGCTATCACATTCGTTCAACCATCACTGTGCTTTTGGCCCTTTGCAGACAAAGAATGAGAATGTGCACAGGTGAGAAGTCCAGGATGCACATGACCACTCAATTAACATTTACTATTTTCATATCAACCGATGCATTCTAGGATGGTATAAACACTTTTGAATTAATCACTGCGTTAAATAGATTCACATTTATGCCTACAGCTATGTCAACATCTAGCTGAGCACTATCTTGACTGTCCTGAGTAGAAGCAAAAAGGATAAGTTGTAAAGTACGTCAACAAACTGCTGCAAAAAACGAAAGTGCAGTTTCTCTCTCGCCGGCCGGGGGAGGGGCCATAGCTCCGCCTCCAGGAAGCCGCGGGAGCGCAGTGACACGGCCTCCGCCGATCGCTCTACGCAAGCGCCATTTCTCTAGCGCGCAGGCGCCGGATCCCAGGACCACGTGCGCTGGCCTGGAGGCTTGGATTGGCTGGGCCTTTCTGTCCTCCCAGCTCGGGTGATCGGAAGTTCTCCGTGGACGCGGGGCGGCTGAAGGCTCCGGAACTGCGCCTGCGCTTTTCAGTGAGTCACACTTCGGGTTTGCCCGGGCCTTTGTCTCGCAAAAGGGTGAGCCTTTGTTCGCAGCGTACGCCCACCCCGGCTTGCAGCGGCTTTCCGGTGCGCCCTGGGCGGCTTAAGCCCAAAGGCGCTTGCACCCTCGCCCCTTCCTGTCTGACAGCCGAGGTCGCCAGGGTGGGCTGAACCCTCGGGACTGTCGCTGCTTGTGTGCCGGGTGCCGGGCTGTCATCCCGAGATGGTTAGCGGCCGGCTTTGCAGGCTGCTTGCCCCCACCCACCGGAACTCGAACCCGGGCTAGACCGGGCGGTTGTGCTGGTCCCTTCCCTCGCTGTACCTTTACTAGAGGTTACCATTAAGGGAAAGGACCCTAGCGCAGTGCCTAGTGGCTGTTCAGTAACCGCGACACCGCTGCCAATATTTGGCATCGTTAGGGCTGGGCTCCCTGTGAAGCTGGGAGCTGTGTGTTAGGACTACAAAGTTACAATTTCTCTTTAGGCTTTGAAGAGATGTAAATATCTGAACAGATCTAGGTTATTATTGACTTGTTACCAGTTTCTGGGAACATTGTTTCCAGAACTTTCCTCTCGTTTTTCTCAGGGTTTAAGCCATTATTGTGCGGATGTGTGAACCTTGCTTACTATATTAGCTAATCTTTACAAGCTTTTATATGTATCCAATCTGATATTTCATGCCTACTCTTCTTGGCACTGTATAAACTTTTGGTATAGGTATGCATCTAAGCATTATCCATTATAACATCAGTTCTAGAACTATGGTGTCCAATAATGATAACCATTAGTTACACAAGGCTTGAACACTTGAAATCTGGCTAGTCTGAATTGAGATGTGCTGTAAGTGTAAGACACAGTGAATTTGGAGAGTTAGCATGAAAAAAATGTAAAATACTTCAATTTGGTCATATTCACATGTTGAAATGACAGTATTCTGGATATACTGTGTTAAATAAAATGTGTAATTTCACCTATTTATATTTTTTAACTTGACAACTAGAAAATTTTAAATCATGTTTGTGGTTTGCATGTCATATTTATGTTGCATAGCACTGATCTAGAAAAGGGTCAACAAACTGGCCTGCAGCCAAATCCAGCCTGCCTGTTTTTGTAAACAAGTCAACTGGAACAAGATCGTGCTCATCCGTTTATGTTATTTTCTGTATCTGCTGTTTCTGCTACAAGAGCAGCAGAGTTGAGTAGTCCAGAGAGATTATATGGCCTACAAAGCCCAAAATATGTACCTTCTGATCTTTAACAGAAAAAATGTGCTGACCCCCCTGCTCTAGAACAATGCCTAGTTTGATATTTTTAAGCCTTTTAGTTGTAGACGCACATCCTATTATTCACGCTTACTGTGTGACAGGTATAGTTCAAAGCATTTAACAAACCTTTCATTTAATTCTCATTAATCATAGGATGTTGGATTTCTCCCATTTCATAGATCAGGAAATTGAGACACAGAATGGTAAGAAACTTATCCAACTTGCTTAGCACCCCTCACTTCTGGGAACTGGACCTGCTTGACCTTCCTTATGCAAATATTTTAACCCTTCAAACCCACTTGATTAGCCCACAGTGGTCACCATGGTTGTTTTTTTTTTTTTTAATGAGATTTCTTTGAACTAGAATTTTTTGAATGATTTTTTTGAACTAGAATTGAGATGGGCTTGAGCTTCTATGGAAGAGGCAGGCAGCGGGGCACTGGGCTTAGGTGCAGTGAGTAAAGGCAAGCTGATGTGTAATGAAAAGAAATGAAGCTCACAAGCAGAGAGGAGAGAGAGCATCCTGAATGCTCATCGCTCATTTAACAACAATAAAAATGTGTTAAGTAATAGTAAGTACTGGCTGGGTGTTTGCTAGATGTGTACAGGTAAATAAAACATGTGGATCTTCTCTTGTGGTCTTGTGGGGAAGGCAGTAAAAATGTTTTTTAAATTTGATAAACACCGTGAAGAAAACAACATGCAAATTATTTACTGTTTTTAAGAGGTTTTCTCACCGGTAAGATGAAAATAAGCTATTATTTGTATTTCAGGAGTATTGTAAGGATTGAGATGACAGGAGTGTGTATGGCCCGGAGAATTCCTGAATAAATATATGTTGCCTTCGACTGTGAAGAGGTAAGTGAGGGAGTATCAGGAATTGTGTAGGTTATGACACTTAAAATATTACAGTTGTCATTTGTAATTTGTAGAGAATGTTGTCAGCCGCATTGTACACAGTAGGTGTTTTTGATCTTTTCTGACTTAATGGGACTCATCTAGAAAAAGCTGAAGTCAGAGAGTTGTCTGCATTCAGTCCAGGAGCAGGACCAGAGTTGTCTTTGGGGCTGATGGCAGCCTAACTGGGAGGTCCTGCTGGGGTGTGGAGGAGGGTTGTTTGCCTGTGAGTGGTTTAAATCAGAGTCACCCTGGAGAGCTGAGCCAATATGCAGGCCCTATCCTCAGAGATTCTAATTTATCCTCTCTGGAGTGAGGCCCTGCCATTGTTTATTTTTGTTTTTTGTTGTTTAATTTCCCCAGGTGATTCTAATAAGCATTCGGGGTTGAGAACCACCAATGGTGAGAGATAGGCCAGGCTCAGGATGTTGCTTGAGCAAAGGCCCAGAGCTGTGCTTATCAGTGGTTGAGAGTAGTCAAGGGGGAGGCCAGCTAGGGTTCTTTTTGCTACCTGGCGGAGGAGCTTGGGCTCCATCCTGAAAGCAAGGGGGAACCTCTGAAGGGCTTTAAGCAGAAAGATGAGGGAATATCTTGCTGAGATCTGTACTAGAGGATGATCATTCTAACAAAGTGCCAGACTAACAGTTGGGCCTTGTGAGGGCCAGAGATACAATGAAGGCAGTGATGAAGCAAATTGTAGCTGTCCAGATGATGGAGAGCCCAGATACGGTTTGGTACCATCCTGTGTGTGTTTCCTCTAGCAACCAGTGTCTGTCTGTGTTGAAATACCACGTGTGTTGTAACTGGCCAGTTTCTTGTCAGTATTCCTTCCGCTAGGCTCTCAGCTCCTTCAAGGCAGAGACTATCTCTTTAGGCTCAGCATCTAGCACATACTCAATCCCTAATATATATTTATTGAATGAACTATGTAGAACTAAGCTGGACATACGCCTTGCTTTGTCTTTTTATGACAGTTGTCAGAATTTTAACCCTCCTAAGATAAATTCTTTATGTCTACATTATTGTCCCACAAAGGACTAGAAAGTTTGACTGGATTTAAATGCTGTTAAAAATGTGGAGGGGGATGGAAAACAATATAGTGGATCCTCAAAAAATTAAAAACAGAATTACCATATGATCCAGTAATTCCATTTCTGGATGTATACTCAAAAGAATTGAAAGCAGGGTCTCAAAGGGAGATTGGTATACCAGTGCTCACAGCAGTGTTATTCACAATAGCCAAAAGACAGAAGCAACCCAAGCATCCATCGACATTTGAATGGATAAACAAAATGTATATACAGACAATGGAATACTATTTAGTCTTAAAAAAGAAGGAAGTTCTGACACACGCTACAACATGGATGAACCTTGAGGACATTATGCTAAGTGAAATAAGCCAGTCACAAGAAGAGAAATAGCTGTATCATTCCACTCATAAGAGGTACCTAGAGTAGTCTCATACATAGAGACAGAAAGTTGAATGGTGATTTCCAGGGGCTGGTGGGAGGGAAGAATGAGGAGTTGTTTAAGAGGTGCAGAGTTTCAGTTTCAGAGGATGAAAAGACTGCTGGATGTAAGCATCTTGATGGCAGAGACTGTGTCTTTTCGAAAATCCACGGACTCTGTTTTATAGTACTTGATGTTAAATAATCACCACTGAACGTAAACAGGTTAAGAGCACTGAAGTGATTACAGAGGGAATTCTACAATCTTCCCAGATACCATCTGACAAGTGACATAAAGCATAATGACCTTTAGTAATTCTACTTCTATGAAATAACTTTAGGGAAATGAGAGATGTGGAGACTGCATATGTAAGAATTTTCTTCAAACTTAGGAGAAACTGGAAGCCCTCAAATAGGAGAATGGTTAAAAACTATCACATACTCCTAGGATGATCCAATAATATAACCATTTAAAAATTATATTTTTAAAGAATAATGACTTGGAAAATAGTCATATAGTGAGGTGAAAAAAATCAAGATTTAAAGCTATATAAAAGATTAAACAGAGTTATATAATCCAGCAGATCCAAGATAAATGAAAACATATGTCCATGTAAAAACTTGTATACAGGCTGGGCATGGTGGCACATGCCTGTAATCCCAGCACTTTGGGAGGCCGAGGTGGTTGGATCACCTGAGGTTAGGAGTTCGAGACCAGCCTGGCCAACATGATGAAACCCCATCTCTACTAAAAATACAAAAAGTAGCTGGGTTTGGTGGCACACGCCTGTAATCCCAGCTACTTGGGAGTCTGAGGCACGAGAATCACTTGAACCCAGGAGTCAGAGGTTGCAGTGAGCCTCTGTACTCCAGCCTGGGTGACTGAGCGAGACTCCATCTAAAAAAAAAACCACTTGTACACAAATGTTCATAACAGTATTATTCATAATAACCAAAAATAGGAAATAATCAAAATGTTCATCAACTGATGAATGGATAAATAAAATGTGATTCAACCACACAACAGAGTATTATTTGGCCATGACAAGGAGTGAAGTACTGATACATGCTACAGCATGGATGAACCTTGAAAGCATTATGCTGAGTGGAAGAAGCCAGATACAAAAGACCGCATATTGTTGATTTTATTTACATGAAATGTCCAGACAGCAAATCTGTAGAGACAGAAAAAAGATTAGTTGTTGACTTGGTGGAGTGGGACAGAAAGGCAGTGGGGTAAAAGAGGTGGAGTAGCTGATAGCGCACAGGGTTTTTCTTGGGGGGTGGTGGCACAAATCTTCTAAAGTTGATTTTTTTGTGGTGATGGGTTACACAACTGTGAATATACTAAAAAACACTGAATTGTACACTTCAGGTGAATTGTATGGCATGGGAATTACATCTGAATAAAGGTGTTACTTAAAAATAGAATCTGATCCAAATTTTATTTAAGAATTACATGTGAAAAGACTAAAGAGATACACAAAATTTTTAAGAGGGGCATTTTCTGAATGGTAAGATTTTAGGTAATTTTCATTTGTTCTTTTACTCTTTTCTGTATTTTCTGAGATGAGCGTGTATTGTTTTCATAATCAGAAAAGTTATTGGTCTAATATGATTTCCTGATAAACTGTATACATTTAAGATATCCCTACTGAAAAATGATATGAGTGATGGATCAATCACCTTCTACCCACCTTCCCTCTGAAATGAGAATATTGTCTCTTAAGAGTGGCCATATCACCTGTGGCTTTGCATTCAGATAAGCATTCATAATTTCCTCAGAAATCGATCACTGCATCTCAAACAGGTGCATCTCTCCTCAAACTTTATCCAAAAATATCAATAGTTAAGTCCTTAAATAACTTGGTTATCTAAGAGTTAAATCTTAGATAAATCAAGATTCTGAGTCCTGCATTTTTAACCACCAGAGGGAGCTAGACTATAGAAAGCCTCTGGCAGTCATTTTTGTTTTGTTTTAAAGTTTGTTTCACAGAGGGCCATCAATTCAGGATCTTATGTAATTTTCCTAATGTAAACCCATACTTAAAAAATAATTCTTTTTCCCTTTTTAAAATTCCACTTTTAAAGATTGCAAACATTAAAAGAGTTCTTCCTAAGAATCAAAAGCTTAATAAACAAAGAGCAGGCAAGACAGCACAGAAAAATAAAAAATATTCACACTCTCTATTGCCGACATTTCTCTCCGAATTGTCTGCTTCAGATCTTGAAGTCACGCAGTTGTGTCACAGTGATAAAGTTTCAAGCTGTTCAATATACTTGAGCCCTTCCCTACTTGTTGAAACGTTTCTTAACAAAGAAGAAACATTCAATGTTCCTGCATTCTGTATGCATTACTACTGAGGAAATCAGGATGGAGGTTTGCTAGGCATTGAGAAAGATGGTTAATAAGAGATGGGCCTACAGTGCCCGAAAGGAAGTTAAGCAATATTTGACTCAGGTCAGAATTTCTCAACTGAAGGTCTGAGTTTCAGGGTGATTCTGGAAGGGAATTGTGTCTTCGGGGTTTCAGTGGGGGTAAAAGCAATTGGTCTTACCAGCAAAACGAGTAAATCTATAGATGTTAATGTGTTTATGTATAAACAACCAAAACTCATAATTTTATATGTTCTATGTTCTTTTATTGATCTCTTCATATTTATTTAAAAATTTTTATTTGTGATAAAATATACAAAATATAAAATTTACTATCTTAAGGCTTTTTTTGGGGGGGGGGAAGTCTCGCTCTGTCGCCAGGCTGGAGTGCAGTGGAGTGATCTCGGCTCACTGCAGCCTCCGCCTCCTGGCTTCAAGAGATTCTCCTGCCTCAGCCTCCTGAGTAGCTGGGACTACAGGTGCATGCCACCATGCCCAGCTAATTTTGTATTTTTAGTAGAGATGGGGTTTCACCATGTTGGCCAGGATGGTCTTGATCTCTTGACCTTTTGATCCACCTGCCTCAGCCTCCCAAAGTGCCGGGATTATAGGCATGAGCCACCGCACCTGGCCTGTCTTAAGCCTTTTTAAGTGTGCAGTTCAGTAGTGTTAAGTACATTTATCATTCCAGAGGGAAGGTGAGTAGAAAGTGATCGATCCATCACTCATACCACTTTTCAGTAGGGATGTCTTAAATGTATACAGTTTATCATGAAATCATATTAAATCAGTAACTTTTCTGATTATGAAAACAATACATGCTCATCACAGAAAAAAGTAAAAGAACAAATGAAAATTACCTAAAATCTTACCATTCAGAAAATGCCCCTCTTAAAAATTTTGTGTATCTCTTTAGTCTTTTCACATGTAATTCTTAAGTAAAATTTGGATCAGATTCTATTCTTAAATAACACCTTTATTCAGATGTAATTCCCATGCCATACAATTCACCTGAAGTGTACAATTCAGTGTTTTTTAGTATATTCACAGTTGTGTAACCCATCACCACCAATAAGTCAACTTTAGAAAATGTATTTGTACCACCACCCCACCTCAAGAAAAACCCTGTATTTTATCATCTGCTCCTCCTCCTTCACCACACTGCCCTTCTTTCCCATTCCACCAAGTCAACAACTAATCTTTTTTCTGTCTCTATAGATTTGCCTGTTCTGGACATTTCGTGTAAATAAAATCATACAATATGTGGTCTTTTGTGTCTGATTTCTTCTGCTCAGCATAATGTTTTCAAGGTTCATCCATGTTGCAACCTGTATCAATACTTCATTCCTTTCCATAGCAGAACAATATTCTGTTCTGTGGATGGATCACATTTTATTTATCCATTCATCAGTTGATGGACATTTCGATTATTTCCCACTTGCGGCTATTATGAATAATATTGCTATGAACATTGGTGTAGAAGTTTTTGTGTGGACCTATGTTTTCATTTCTCTTGGTTCTGCTGGGTCATATGATAACTGTAGTTTCATGTGTAGTTTCATTATGTAGTTTCACATCTTGATTTTTTTCACCTAACTTTATGACTGTTTTTCTCTGTCATTAAATATTATCTAAATACATGATTTTTAAATGGTTATATTATTGTATCATCCTGGGAGTATGCCATATTTTTAACCATTCTCTTGTTTGAGGGCCTTCCAATTTCTCCGAAGTTAGAAGAAAATTCTTACATATACAGTCTCCATGTCTCTCATTTCCTTAAATTTATGGAAGTAGGATTACTAAAAGGTCATTGTGTTTTATTTCACTTGTCAGATGGTAACTGGGAAGATTGTTTGAATTCTCTCTGTAATCACTTCAGTGTTCTTAGCCTGTGTATGTTCAGTGGTGATTATTTAGTATCAAGTGCTATAAAACAGAACCCATAGATTTTTGAAAAGACACAGTCCCTGCTGTCAAGATGCGTATGTTTACATTTAGACCAGACAGATAAATATAGATCCAAGGGCATTATATAGACAAGATTATGTACATCATGTGGAGGGAAAAAATAGACTGCTTAGATAAAGTAAACGTTTGCCTGCCTAGGATGAGATTCACACAGACATAATGATTGAGCAACTTTTTACACTTAAAAGTTTTTTAAAAATTAACAAAACCAAAATGTAGGAATCAGTAAGTCTAAAGTCATAAATTACCTGGATCCTTGAGTATGAAGCTTTCCCTTGTTCAGAAGACTCCTAAGACAGCACAGTGTAGCCTGTTGGCTTTTGGGACCTGCAGCCCTAGCTCTGGCTGCTTTTCAACCTGTGCTATCTCACAGTTTCCTTAGATTGCTTGAGACATTAGCAAACCTTTTCTGTCCTGTTTCTTACTCTTTTGTATTCAGAAGAATGCCACTTTAAAGATTATGAAATGACGCCCGGCACAGTGGCTCACACCTGTAATCCCAGCACTTGGGGAGGCTGAGGTAATCGCATCATAAGGTCAAGAGATCGAGACCATCCTGGCCAACATGGTGAAACCCCATCTCTACCAAAAACACAAAATTAGCCGGGCGTCGTGGCGCATACCTGTAGTCCCAGCTACTTGGGAGGCTGAGGCAGGAGCATTGCATGAACCCAGGAGGTGGAGGTTGCGGTGAGCCAAGATCGTGCCACCACACTCCAGCCTGGAGCCTGGCGACAGAGCAAGACTCTTGTCACAAAAAAAAAAAAAAAAAAAAAAAAAAAAAAAAGATTATGAAATGAGCAAGTAGTTCAGTTATGTAGCTGACTCTGGGGGAAAAACAGTCTAGCACTGTTCAGCATTGCCATATTGATGCTGACACTGGCATGATTTCATCTCCAGCATGACCACCAGATTACACCCAAATGGAATGACTAATCTAGAAAGATCATTGATTTGTAAAATTGGAGGTGGAAAAGCTATGGCAGATCCTCCAGCAAGCCTCTTAAGCAGATGTTATATAGAGGCTTTGCAATACTGTTTTTTTGTTTGTTTTTTCACTAGTAGGAATTAAACTCTTGAAAGTAAACCATACCACATTAAAGATTCCATTTTCTAGCATGTCACATACATTTGTATTACATGACTCCTTCAGCAAACATTGCCTAGGTAACTGACAGAAAGTGCTATTTTAATATCCAGAAGCTGTAGCTAGCAAAGACAAACTTAAGAAAATTGAAACCTCTTTTTTGCTTTGCAGTTTTAAAGATGTCTGACAAGAACCAGATAGGTGCCAGAGCTTCCCTTATTGAGCAACTGATGTCTGAAAGGAAGTTTGAGGATCTTGGCAACCACCTTACTGAGCTAGAAACAATTTATGTGACTAAGGAGCATCTCCAGGAGACAAATGTGGTCAGAGTTGTGTACAGAGTCCTCAAAAACTGCCCCTCTGTGGCTTTGAAAAAGAAAGCCAAGTGTTTGCTATCGAAGTGGAAAGCTGTTTATAAAGAGACTCACTTCAAAGCAAGGGACAGCCCTAAATTACTTCCTGTGAGGGGTAATAAAGAAGAAAATTCAGGACTTTCTCACCCAAGTCACGATGAGACACTGGGCATCTGCAGCTCGAATTCTCTATCTTCCCAAGACGTTGCAAAACCTAGTGAAATTATTGTGCCTGAAAATGGAGCCATTCAATTGAAACCTAAGGAAGAGTATTTTGAGGATGGTGACCCTGAATCCACTGGGAAGAGATCAAGTGAGTTGCTGGACCCAACACCCATGAGAACTAAATGCATAGAGCTTCTTCACTCAGCTTTAACTACTACTTCCACAGATCAAACCAAAACCGATATGTGGCAAAACTTTGCAAGAGAAATTGAAGAGCATGTTTTTACCCTTTATTCAATGAACATCAAAAAATATAAAACTTGCATCAGAAGCAAAGTTGCCAATTTGAAGAACCCCAAAAATTCTCACTTAAAACAAAACTTGTTCTCTGGGACCATGTCTCCACAAGAATTTGCTGAAATGACTGTCATGGAGATGGCTAACAAGGAACTGAAGCAGTTGAGAGCCTCCTACACAGAATCTTGTATCCAGGAACATTACCTTCCCCAAGTGATTGATGGCACAGAGACAAATAAAATAAAATGCAGACGTTGTGAGAAATACAATTGCAAAGTCACTGCAATTGCCAGAGGAGCACTTTTCCTTCCCACCTGGGTGCGGAATTCAAACGCAGATGAACAAATGATGACTTATGTAATTTGCAATGAATGTGGGGAGCAGTGGTACCATAGCAACTGGGTGTGCTTGTAACTGTAAATCAGTGTTCTCTTAACAAATAACCCAAGTGATACCTTTTATTTGTACAACCCTTTTGTGCTTGTAAAAAATCTTATACACACTACTCTCTAAAACAGAAGGAGGAGGAAAGAAAGTCATTAGCTGAAGCTCACATCACCATCCCTAAAAGTTACAGTTTGGGGAGAGGGAGTAGATCACTATTTATATTGTGCCTTATGGCCATTTAGTACCTTACCGTCCTCAGAGTATGGTTGAGAGCAGCTCAGCATAAACTGGGAGCCTGTGGAAAATGCATTCCCAGGCCCCACACTATTGAATCCGAATCTGCATTTTAGCAGGATCCCCAGGTAACTTTCTAGGACAGGATAGTTGGAGAAGTGCTGCTTTAGTAACAGGCTTGTGGCTCTCAGCAGTGGCTGCATATTAAAATCATCTGGGAAGCTTTGAAAACCCACTGGTGCTGAGATCCCACCCGAGAGCAATTCAGTTGGAACCTATGAGATAGGACCCAGGCATCAACATTTCTTTTTTAATTCCTCAAGTTATTTTAAGATGCAGTCAGAGTTGAGAACTACTGAGAAATAAGCTCTCATTTGATTGTTTTTACAGCTCTAAGACGAGAGTGTTAATTCCAGGCACCTCACAAATGAGGAAACAGGTCCACAGAGGTGTGGTGACTTGCCCAGTGACACAACCATAAATAGTCCAATTCAGACAGATCCCAGATTTTCTTCCTCCAGGCTCACTGAGACTGGCTCAATATTGACTTCTGAGAAATGTATTCCTGGAGGTTGGGGACGAAGTGACTAACATTGGGTGACTAGATCTTCATTCTTTTTTTTTTAAGGATTTAAGAGATTTAATGGAAAATTCCTTATAAACAAAAAAAAAGTCTTAAAAAATACATCTGCATATCTCTTACAATTACCCTTTGTGATCAAATGAGTTACGTTTTTTCTATATTCAAGTCTATAATTTTAAAAAATCCAGTTTGCTAATGATTTTTGAAAAGTTTATCAGGAATATCATCTTTTCTAGTCAGAGTAACAGTTTAATCAAAATGTCTCTCGTTTCTTTGTACATCTTCATTCCTTTCCCCCTGTCTTTTCTCATTTACAGGTCTCCCATCAACCACAAAAGTCACCCCAAGGCTGGGCACAGTGGCTCACGCCTGTAATCCTAGCACTTTGGGAGGCCAAGGCAGGTGGATCACAAGGTCAGGATTTTGAGACTAGCCTGGCCAATATGGTGAAACCCCATCTCTACTAAAAACACAAAAATTAGCCAAGTGTGGTGATGCATGCCCATAATCCCAGCTACTTAGGAGGCTGAGGCAAGGCTAATTGCTTGAACCTGGGAGGCAGAGGTTGCAGTAGCCAAGATCATGCCATTGCACTCTGGCCTGGGCAACAAGAGCAAAACTCTGTCTCAAAAAAAACAAAGTCACCCCGGAACTCATCCCACATCATGTTCTCAAGAACAAGTGTCCTTGAGATGGACATTAATGGTCATTAATCTGTTAGAGGCAGTCCATCGCCTTAGCCTTTGAATGTAGTAACAGACATCTAATAAATGAATTGAAGAGGAAATTACTTCTTTGAGGCCTTTGCAAATAGTGTTTAACCAGTTTATATAATTATTTGAATACAGCAAGCCTTCTATGTGATTATGGCTGATTTTTTTCCTTAAAAAAATCATAGAATGTTCATCGTTGTATAGTTTTAGAAAGTTTACTTTGGCGGTCTCTACAAACCTACACATTTTCACTTTTTCACCAGTTCTTTTCTCAACTCTATTAACTTCCTTTGTTGGAGCTCTGAAGGCCTAACTGCATGTACGCTTTACCTGCCTGACAAAATTCTCCAAAACGTGCATAAAACTAAACTACAGTTCTATTTGCAAATGGTTTGGAAGAGTCGGCTCAGTGCCATCAAGTGTGAAATCTATTTTGATACACTTTCTCCCCATGTCTTCCCCGGGCTGCTTTTTGTGATGCAACATATTTAGTCCTTAACTTGCAAGGTCATCTAGCACTTAAAGTTTCACAAAGTGTGGTTTCATATGACTTGAAATAATCTGAAAAAGTATTCAGTGGTTACAAACGAGAACAGCACATAAAAACCAAATTTGATTAGTTCAAGTCAGCATTTGTGTTTTGCTTTTGGGGTTTGTGTGTATGTGTGTAGTTTTTATTTATATTGGAATTTGCTAAACTAAATGTTCAGACAAATAGAAATACTTGAAATTTCCTTACTCTCCAAGATACAAAAATCTGCATGGTCTTCCTTATTTCGTTTCATCTTTATTAGTTTTGCAACTCAAGGTAGGAAAATAGGAATCTGTGTGTTTTTCTTTTGGTGAACGAGACAGCATTACCTTTTCTGCCTATAGATAATTATTTCACATCCTATGTCCTTTCCCCTAAGAAAAGGGTTTTCTTCAAAATTGCCTGCAGGGTAAAGATTTGGTTTTTTTTTTTTTTTTTTTTTTATTTTTTAGACAGGTTCTCTGTCACCCAGGCTGGAGTGAATGGCGCCATCTCAGCTCACTGCAGCCTCAACCTCCTGGGCTCATGCGATTTGTTGTTTTTTTTTTAATTTTGGTTTTTATAAAAAATTTTTAGACAAGTTCTCTGTCACCCAGGCTGGAGTGAATGGTGCCATCTCAGCTCACTGCAGCCTCAACCTCCTGGGCTCAAGCAATCCTCCAACCTCAGCATCCCCACTCCCTTGAGTAGCTGGGACTGCAGGCACATGCCACCACCCCCAGCTAATTTTTGTATTTTTTGTAGAGACAGGATTTCGCCATGTTGCCAGACTGGTCTCAAACTCCTGGGCTCAAGTCATCCTCCCAAAGTGCTCAGCCTCCCAAAGTGCTGGGATTACAGGCATGAGTTACCGTGCCTGGCCAAGACTCTTTAATTTAAAATCACTTTTACAGAAACAGCAAATGGAAGGCCCAGGCACAGTAAAGTGCCTGATAGAGTCAAGTTCCAGCAAGAGTCCACAGCAGCTAAGTCACAGTGAGCAAGGGGAACAAGGATGAGAGATGCAGTCAAAGAGGCCATGATGAGGGCTCTTGTTGGCCATGGTAAGGATTTAGGGGGGTTCTTAAAGCATGACGGAAAACCACTGAAGTTGGGCAGTTTGTGGTAATGCAATTTGAACACCCTTTAGGAAGAATCACTCTGGCTGTTATGTTGAATTAGATGGGAAAGGAAGCAAGGATGCATGCAGGGAAAACAGGTGACCGTTGCAGTGGTGCAAATACCACATAACTAGCTTCAAGCAAGAGTACACAGAGACTGGGCTCCCTGAATCCTTATAGCAAGCAAAGTCCTTGACAACTTTGCAAATGGATGTTTCATAAAATACACTAAATCCCAAATTCCCTACCCAAGGCCCATAAATAAACAATAATATGCAGTGTGGAAACTCACACTGGACAAGTATCTCCTATACCCTGGTTGTCATGGTTACTGGGAGTCCCTGCTTAAGGCATAAACACCAGTTGTCATACCTGAATGTAGGAGCGCTCTCTTGACTCTTGATGGGTTTTCCCACATCACTCTCCTTTGTCTGTGTTACTTTTTTGAGATAAAAAGTTGGATACAATTGCAGCTCTGTCTCTTCCCTGAGCACTTCCTGTGATGAGAGGCTCTTTTCATTCGCCACTACCATTTCTAAATACCAGTCAGGAAGCCTGCAGCTGGCAGTGCCCCACTGCTCTGGCAAGGGCTGGCCCTTCGTCTTCTGGGTCAGATTGCTTTGTTATTTATAACTTCCCAGTAAATGTGAAATATTTTACTAAAGTTGTTATTTTTGTATCTCTCAGAGATATTTACTGTAAGTAGCTAGATGATAGAAGGCATCTTCTTGCTTTCAGAAGAGCCCCACAATCAGAAGGGAGACCAGATGACAACTCCATATAGTCCTATTTTCATTATTACTTAAAACTGGGATTTCCAGCCAGAAGCGGTGGCTCACAACTGTAATCCCAACACTTTGGGGGTCCAAGGCGAGAGGACCGCTTGAACCGAGGACTTGGAGACCAGTCTGAACTCCCTCTCTACAAAAAATATAAAAATTAAGCCAGGCATGGTGGTGTCCACCTGTAATCTCAGCTACCCAGGAGGCTGAGGTGGAAGGATCACTTGAGCCCAGGAGGTCAAGGCTGCAGTGAGCCATGATCGTGCCACTGCACTCCAGCCTGGGCGACAGAGACCCCATCTAAAAAATAGGTTTCCACAAATGTTACCATGCATCGTCAGAAATGCGCTGTGTTCATGATTGTATATTGCTTTGCATTTTGCTAGGTTCTGGGGGCAAAGAGATGATTAAGACACCATCCCAGGCCTCAAGCCCCACAAAATGCAGGGGAAGTGCCATGCTATGTAGCCAGCAATCATTTTACCTTTTAAGAGCTCTGAGGGAGACACCCACTGGAAAAGGGTGCAGAGGACCCCAGAGGATCAACTAACCCAGTGTGGGAGGGTCAGGGAAAGCTTCATAGAGGCCATGACCCTTAGGGCAAATATTGAGGGGAAGATGGCCAGGCAGAGGAAATGGGAAAGTCTGTTCCAGCACCATATTTGCTAGATTCTTGGCATTTTTTGTACAGCATCTCCTTTAATCTTCACAACTAACCTGCCACACAGCATTTTAGAGGTGAAGAAACTGAGTCGGATAGAGATTAAGTTACTTGCCCAAGAGTACACCGAGACAAAGCCAGGACTAAGTCATAACAAAGTGAGTAGGTTTTGTTTGTTTGTTTTGTATGTCAGATTGCTTCTAGAAATAACAGCAGGCTTCCCAGTAATTCCAGTCTGGTGCTGCTATTTTATAATTGTGGTTTGTTCTTTCAATGACAGGAGCATGTGATGTATGGATACCACCTTAGCCCAGTACTGTGCACTCCTCCTGATGATGGAGAGATTGGGAGGGACCACCTGGCTAGGATTGCTGGCTCTCCTGACACCTTACTGTGGCATCCATGTGGTTTATCCGGTTTTCTGAAAAGTGAGTAATTTTTAAAATACTGAAATTTGAAAGTATAAGAA